CCTCCCGCCCCCCACCGCAGCATGATAACTCAACTTCAAAAATGAGCCCCGCAGCCCTGACGCTGGTCGTCATGGAGGTCTCCGTGGTAACCGCAGGCCGAAAATTCTCACCCTCTGCGCCGGTCCACCACTGCGAACACCCTGAATGCATCGGCAACAAAGCCGCACACACACGCGTGCGCAGTGATTGACGTACACAAATGAGCGCTGACGGACGGCCTCCGCATACTTGCCATCCAACAGGACTCTGCTCTTCCATGGGAGAAAAATGCAATTGTTTTTTTTTTCCAAAAGCAACTTTCCCCTTCAACTAACAAGCGAGCACGAGGCCTCATCGTGCGCGGCTGTCATTCAACCGCACACAATAACCAAACAATCGAGTGTAGTAGTAAGGCCTGAAATGCAGCCGAACTCAATTCAAGTCCACATCAGGAAAATGTCTCGACGCAAAGCCACACAATCGACAACGTGCATCATCGTCATCGTCGTGACATGAATTGGCACGAAATATCAAAACTCTTCAGCATTTGAGAAAAATAGTAATTGCAACGTAAAAAATAAAACAGTGCAGAGTTGAAAGCCAAAGAATGAAAATTGAGTTTCAAGACGAGTTTTTGAAACTAAGCAGCGTTACGCTAATACAATTCAATGACATCATTCACGAAATCTTGTGACTTTGGACCCCTTTTCCATGACTGCAACTGACGGAGCTAGTGCGGGGTGCGGGGGGGGGCGGGTGGCACTGCTCTCTCCAGGATTTTTTTTCCACATCTCCACCTGTCCTCTGTTGGGTACATGTACTGCGGTTTTCAAAATAATATGGGGGTGTCGTAAAAAAAAAAAAATAATAATAATAAATAAAATAAGAGGGGTGGGGAGGGTTGGGGGATTAATCGATGCGACACTCAAAGTGTGGAGGAAATTTAGCAGACAAACACAGGCTGGTGGATCCGCACGAGCGATGGCTGCGCTGTTGTGGGAGTGGCTACAGTCAACTTCATTCAAAGCCAATCAAGGTGACTGCTTTCATTGCTGTAAGTCGTACAGTCGAGTCTCGACATGACGAAAGTGAGCACTTGGAGATATCTGCCCCCACAAACATGCCCCCCCCCCCCCCCCCCCGCCTCGGTTCTGTTCGAAAAAAATTCAAAACAACCAAATGAAATCCGCCGCATTAGATCAGCTGTCTTCCCTGCGCCGTTGTCAGATGTAAAGTTTCGATCCGTTTTCTGACATCAAGGACACGCGCTGTGCGGCACTGGCCGGGGTTCGGCTTGCCAGAGACCCGTTTGTCAATTTTTGCAGTCAGCCTTGCACTGAATCGTCCATCATCAGAAATCTTTTTCCAGAGTCGGACGCAGGACGACGGGCGCAAATGTCGCCCGCCCCAACTCAACAACATCCAGCACGTCTGCCGTGCCAGGCCTTTGTCTCGGGCCGCAAGTCTTGTGAATGACCCGTAGGGTCATCCTGCTGCCAGCCATTTTGTTCTTCTCCCTTCAGGCGCACATTTCCGCTCGGTGAAATGTTCCACTGCTGCTTTTGCAACAAAGGTTCTTCCCTTGTGCCGTGCGCTGCCTCAACTGCTCCCAAAAAAAAAAAAAAAAATCAAAATGGCTCTTGCAGCTTTTCTCCTCTTTGGTGTCAGGGGGTTGTCAGCCCAAGAGCATTTTTTTGTTGTTTTTGGTCATATCTCCTTGTCTAAGGTGATCATCTTTGTTGTGTTTGCCCATTTTCGCCTTTTTTGCTGAGTGCTGCGTTTTTCGACTGTGGTGATTTCATTAATGGAGTTGTGATTTTGGTTCTGAATGCCACTTAATGTCGTCTTTAGAAAAAGACATTGCGCAACCACTCGCACCTTGCTTTGGCTATTTTTCTTCTCTTTTAACCACACTTTTCTTGACACTTTTTTTTATGACGCCACGCTACCAGCTCTCAACTCAAAGCAAAAATCAGCCGATTGATGGCGTCTATCTCAAGGCACCGCTGTGTTGTGACGTGGTATCCATGTCGTAGTCTCGGTGCATTTTTTTTTTTTTTTTTTTTTTAACAGATGTGAGTATACAAGTGTATTTAAAATCCCGGTAAGCAGAAAGGCATCTGGGTTCAGCCCACATCGAAACCAGCTTGAATAGAAGCCAGTTGGTGTCCGGTAGTGGTACTGGTATCTCCAAACGCATGCAGTGCATTGGCGCCTCCCTCCCTGAATACATGCCAGCTGTGCGCCCCATTCATGCCCGTTGCGCCATTGTCCGGAGCATAGGCACGCTCAGTGTGGGTCCGCATCACAATAACCTGTGTGTTTATTGTGCACCGCGACAATACACGACACAATTGGCGATGCTTCGGCCCCCCTCGTCCCGTCTCCCTCTCACGCTCGCCCTGGCGCTCACCCTCTCGCTCTCTGACGCTGGCCTGTGACGGTCATCCTCGTGCACTTGCCTCTCTTCACTTGCCTTTTTGGCCTGCGCCCTTCTTCCTCGCTACCCCCTTGCAGCCCTCCATCATCTCTGTGTGACCACTGTGCTCACGCCAGCCTGCCCAACTGTAACTAATACGCATAGAGAGGCAAGGAGAGGGGAAACAGAGGGAGAAAAGGCGGGGAGAATCGCGCACGCACACACATGCACACAAGCCTTCCCAATTTGTTCAAATGTTTTGGGTAGTCATTCTATGGAAGCCTTGTATCTTTTTTGATAACTTGAAACAATGTTATTAGAGGTTTTTGGTCACGGGTGAGGAACCTGCAGCCATTGGGCGATATATGCCCCTTGTGAGCAATTAACGAGGCCCGCCGTGCATTTCTAAAAATAAGTAAACGCTCAGAGGAAGAAGAATAAAAAAAGCAAAAGATTAATGCAAATACTGGAATAAGTACAAAGAAAATGTACTTATTGCAATATTTTGTGTTAATTTTCGTAAGGTTGACCACCGCTGCTGTGGACAAAAATATCTATTTTAAAATTCCTCTCCTGGTTGAAAAATCAAATTTCCAAACCCAACAATTCAACTAACTCATGTAAACTGTCTTGCGTACAAATGAACACCCCAGTTCAGACGTCCTAAATGACACAACTGCTTTTTTTTTTTTTTTAACCATCTCAAAAAAGCAAAGAAACTTTGTAGCTCACACAAACAACCATTCGCGCTCACACTCACAACTCGGAATAATTTAGAGTGCCCCGTTAACCTGCCATGCATGTTTTTGGAATGTGGGAGGACATGGAGGAAAACCCACACAGGCACGAGGAGAACATGCAAACACACAAACTTACCACTGTGAGCAATCAGGAAAAAAAAAGCCCTAAAAAAAACCTTTTCTAAATTTGGCCAATTACAGTGAACAACAGACAAACACATTAATAGTGAAACTCTTGGCACATAATTAGCTTACAGTGTTTGGAATTTATAATGAATGTGATTGCATATTTTGGCAGATTCTGGAGCACCGTTGAAAATATCTTCTTTGTATCCCCACGCATCGCAATACAAAGTGTACATGTATATATACACACTCACACACACACGCGCACACACACAGTATGTAGTTATACGGCCAAACAAACGTACAAACAGCGGACGAAGGGATGAGGAGTGAAGTGAGAGAGCGAGGGGGACAGAAAGGGACACCGAGTGAGGGAGTGAGAGAGAGAGAGAGAGAGAGAGGGTGAAGGGGGGAGAGCGCGCCGCTGGGGTACCGAGAACCCACCTGCCACTTGAGTC